AAAAGAAACAAAGAGTGATCAGTACAACAACAAAATGCCCACGAGATCTCAGCTATAAAACTAGAGAAGTCACCATTCTTCTTCCAAACAACAGGCACTGCTGAAGAGGTTACAGAATTTAAGAAATGATTATGCCTTGTTTACCACTTACTTCCATTTATCCACGATGATGCACAATATTTAATAATTGGAAAATAAAATCATAAAAATCTAACACCATAATCCATGTAACTTTCGATTATCGTCATAACTCCATCAAAGACAGAAGGCTCCAATTTACATATTTTAATGCATGAAATGGAATAAACTGTAGAATATAAAAGCTCAGCTTTGATAAAAAGTCATCATCTAAATTTCTTACTCACAGATCACATTGTAAATAATCTAAAAAAGGGTCTGCAATCGCACCTCATTTCCATTGTTCTTTGATCGTTTTGCAGGAACCGTCTCATCCTGTGCAAGAAATCAAGGTAGAAGCAGTGTTCATTCACAAATATGCAGATCTAAAATATGATACTAAGTGAAATAATCTGTCAAAAATTACCAAATTCAAACCCTAAAAAAATAAGTCTCCTATCCTTTTTACAAGTCACACAAATCATAATTTGTTCTAATCATGGTATATATAATAATGACTAGATTTACACATATCAGGCTATGAACTATGGTCTATAATTCCCAGCGGCTGCATTTCTACAACACACTTAGCTAAAACCAAGGAAGGTTTGCTTACATAAAATTTGTAGTCCTGTTATCAAAACAATATCTTTTCAGAATCACCTAATGATAAAACAAGATTTCTCAAACTGTGATCACTAGCAACTAAGATGGGACTGCAAAATGTATTGAAAACTTATTGGGTTTGCACAAGCAAAAGCAAAGCAGTGTCAAAACTTGTTCCCTCTTTGCCTCAATGTGTAGGCAAAATGAGGAAATAAACTTGGAATTGTGATTGATAGATGGTTTTCTGCCAGATGATAAATTCTGGCATGGCACATTGTCTTAATGTGTACTTCTGAAATGATTGGAGAAGAACATGTGTTAGTAAAGTTGAGGACGACTGATCTTAAATAAATTACCTTTCCTCCACTATTTTGACTACAGCAAATCAAAATTTAGCTTTTCAAAACAAATACTTCACTGGGTGATATAAGCAAAAGGAAAGAAAATCAATTTGCTGTAATGCTAATAAAAGCCTGACATGAGACGAAGACTTTACACATTTGATTTCTATCATTTTCAAATGTGGAAATATATTTTAGAACCCAATATTTGCCATATCAAACTTTAATTATAATTAAAGATTATATGATTGCAATAACTAAAAACTAGAAGTCCAGAGATTAATTCACATCTAGTTTTCTTGGTGCTGAATAGAGTCAGTACTTCAACAAAAAGGATATTTTTTATATTTAATTACCTCATTTGGGTCAGCAAACAGAGGGATGTCATGGAATGGGGAAATGTATTTTCCCTTTGAGTTCTCTGCAAGAGGAAATAAAATTATATGCAAACAGAAAAAAAAAACCAGGAGCATTTCAACTGCTTTCATCTTAAAAGAACTTGTAGTGTTTAACTACAGAGACTATTTGTTTAGCTAAAATAAACACATTGGCCATGTTCAAATATACATGTTGGCCATTTTAAGACAATCACTGCTTTATTTAATTACACAAAATAAGCTTGAGTCTTGGCAGAAACAAATCAGGATTTCTTTAATTTACCATGGTTTCTTGTCTTGTCTAGAATAGCAAACTAGACTACAGGCTTAGGGAAAGGACTGGTGCTAGATATACAGATGAAACCATTAACTGATCTTCTGTCATCCTTACAAAATTGAAAGTAAGGAATGGATAGTGATAATGTAATTCATGGGTCAAGAGTCAGATGGATGCTAAAGTGCTGCACCATCCTTATTATCAGAGAAATTATCATTTCCACCAGTCTTTCTTTCCATCCGCTCTGTAACTCAACACTATTCCCAAGGATATTCCAGCCATATCTTTCATTTCAGGACACAGTAAAGAGGAAAATGCAGTAAAGTTCAGGACTGTACAACTGAATTCACTCCCATATTCAGCTAAAGGAATCGGTGGAAGTGCAACCAATGGTGCAGCAGACACATTTCAGCCTTAGCTAGACCTACATTTATGCGTACATAGATATTAGCTTTCACTGGGACAACCCGCTCACTCTAAATTGTTATATAGCCGCCACATGGGAAATCTGGGTTGTATAAACAGAGGCATAGAATCAAGATTATGTGAAGTATTAGTACTGCTTTATAAAACCCTAGTAAGACCACACCTGGAATACTGCAGCCAATTTTGGTCACCATATCACAAAAAAGATGTTGAGAATTTGGAAAAAATTCAGAGAAGAGCAACAAAGATGATCAAAGGCCTGGAGACTAAAACATACGAAGAACGGCTACGGGACTTGGGTTTGGCTAAAGAAAAGAATAAGGGAGATCTGGTAGCAGTGTTCCAGTATCTGAGGGGCTGCCGCAAGGCAGAGGGGGCCAGGTTGTTCAACAAACACCAGAGGGTAGGAGGAGAAACAATGGTTGGAAACTGATCAAAGAGAAAAGCAACCTGGAATTAAGGAAAAACTTCCTGACAGTGAGGACAATCAACCAGTGGAACAGCTTACCCCCAGAAATCATGGGCGCTCCATCACTGGAGATTTTCAAGAAGAGACTACGTTCTCCTGCTTGAGCAGGGGGCTGGACTAGGAGACCTCCAAGGTTCCCTTCCAGCTCTATTCTATTCTAATTATTATTCTTATTCTATTACAAATCTGACATGTGACATCTTACACGGACTAGGAGAAAATGTAAATTTTGATCACATAATTCCAGGCAAGGACAAGAGTTAACCTGGAGATCTATTTTACACTCGCATATACCCAGAAGAACAAAGACACACATAGAAGGACTTTATTATTCACATCACTAAAACTGGAAGACGCTCCAGACCGCTCCAAAACAGATGACCGAAGTCACCTAAACTTGGCTGCAGGCACTTTTTCTCCAAGCCACCTGCTTACATTATGCATCGGTCAACAAAGGGAAAGGCCCGCCTTCAAGACCGGAGTGGGGCGAACACCTCTCTACAACGTCATCAAAAGGCGTCATTAGCCAGGGAAACCCCCTCCGGGCGCGTTCCAAAGGAATCCCAGCGCCTCCGCCGCCGTTCTTCTCTTCCTCCGGTAGCTACTTACTAAAATAGAGGCGAAAATCGGTTGAATGCAGGCGCCCCCTTTGCTCCGTGTCGTACTGAGCCCGAGCCATGAATCCGAGTGAATAACCGCGGCAACTCTGCGGCCGAGGCTGCAGAAGCCGCGTGGCTGCCCTTCTCCTGCCGGAAATGCTGCCCTGCTGAGCAGCCCAAGACAGCCGTCGGAGCCAACCCAAAGCGGCATCCGCTCGCATGTTTCTGCTCTCCGCTTCTGCGGGCAGAGTAGTCCCTCCTCCGGCGCGGCGGGTGGAGTTCGAGCATGCCCAGCAAATCCTCTAGCGTTGTCGCCGTGTGGTTTACTTTCAGATCGAGCCAGGAAAACTGTGCAGACGTGCAAGGAGAGCAGAGTTCGAGGCGTTGCAAACCGGCGGGAAGGGAAGAGGGAGGCAGGGACACTATTTGGCAGGAAAGATTGGAAACATCTTTCGTTGGTGCAGGAGCTTCGGTCTCTTTCGCCACGCTGGCCTAGAGTTTGTGTGGGCTGCGTGGAGCCCGAGTTGCATTCTGGTGTCCTGATCCCGCAGTCAGGAGCTGCAGACGAAGCACGCGGAAAAGCTGGCATCTCTCACCAGCAAAACTTTTTTGCTTGAACGGCATTTCCCACATATAATGTCAGATTTTATCGCTTAAGAAAGGGGGGGAAACCCTCCTGGCCCCATTTAATTAGTGATATGGTGGGTGATATAGAATAGAATAGAGCTGGAAGGGACCTTGGAGGTCTTCTAGTCTAGCCCCCTGCTCAAACAGGAGAACGTATACCATCTCAGACAAGTGACTGTCCAGTCTCTTCTTAAAAACTTCCAGTGATGGAGCGCCCACGATTTCTGAAGGCAAGCTGTTCCACTGGTTAATTGATCTCACTGTTAGGAAGTTTCTCCTTAACTCCAGGTTGCTTCTCTTCTTGATCAGTTTCCAATCATTGTTTCTTGTCCTAACCTCTGGTGCTTTGGAGAATAATTTGACCCCTCTTCTTTGTGGCAGCCCCTCAAATACTGGAAGACTGCTATCATGTCGCTCCTATTTCTTTAGACTAGTCAAACCCAAGTCCTGCAGCTGTTCTTCATACGTTTTAGTCTCCAGGCCTTTGATCATCTTAGTTGCTCTTCTCTGAACTTTTTCCAAGTCTCAACATCCTTTTTGTAGTCTGATGACCAAAATGGGTTGCAATATTCCAGGTGTGGTCTCACTAGGGTTTTATAAAGTGGTACTAATACTTCATGTGATCTTGAATATATGTCTCTGTTTATACAACCCAGGATTGTATTAGCTTTTTTGGTGGCTGCTGCACACTGCTGGCTCGTAGTCAAGTGATCGTCCACTAGGACTCCAAGGTTCCTCTCACAGTTACTGTTTTGAGCCAGGTCTCACCTAATCTGTACTTAAACGTTTGGTTTTTTCCTGCCTAAATGTAAAACTTTGCTTTTTTCCACATTAAAACTCATTTTGTTGGATAGGACCCATTGTTCAACTTTGTCAAGATATTTTTGGATTCTGAGCTTGTCTTCTGGGATGTTGGCTATTCCTACCAGTTTAGTGTCATCTGCAAATTGAGGTTTGAAGTGGAGAGGACCTTGTAACAAATTTGTTGCATAGATACTGTAGGCAGCTGCAGAGATTGTGTTGTCTTGAATGAACAAGACATCTCTGGCCACCAGTACCTAATACTTTTTAAAAAAAATATATGCTTAATTCTAGTAATTTGCAGTTTCTTTTGATGGGTCCTGTCGGGGCTGTAAGGAAAGCTCCCTTTGATTTCACTATGTGGTAACTGCTGCAAATTGAATTAGGTTGGTTTAGGCAACAATTGCCTACCTTTCCTATCAGAAAAGTCGTGTTGCTAAACAAAAGTATATCTACTCCCATTCCAGAAGAGAAAAAAGGCAGTTTGGTGTAGTGGTTAAAGTGCTGGCCTAGAAACTAGAAGACTCAGAATGTTAGGCATGGAAGTCAGCTGTGTGACTTTGGGCCAGTCATTCTCAATCCAACTCCCCTCAAGGTTTTTTGTTTTGCAGGGGAAATAGGAGGTAAGAGTATCAGGTATGTTTTCCACCTTGAATTATATTTATTTTTTTAAAAAATGGATTTTTTTAAAAAAAATATGTGGAAAATTCCAGTTACTCTTGCATATGTAACGTAGTTTTATAAGCATTTAATTCTATTAATGACAAAAATGAAAGAAAACATAGCAAGGCCATAGAAAAACAACCAGCCAGCCTGAATCATTAATCTGGATCAGGATTTTATTCATACAGAACAATTCTATCCAGAACAATTCTATATTTACATGTGAAAAGCAGAAAGAGCTGTGCAGACTCTGATCTAAAATCCAGATATATACTTAAATGATGTGCTTCAGGTTTGATTTCTTTTTGCTTGAAATTAGATGAATCACATGAATGTTTATTCCAGAAAGGTTGCACACAACAGTAATAAAACTGCTATTTGTAATGGTACATACTGCATTAGCACATAGTGCATGCTATTGCAATACCTGCTAAACATTGAAGGATGTTGTAGTTGTGGACTTGGGAACTGCATTCAGCTCAGGATTTAAACCTAGAAATTAGGAATATGGACACAATCTGTTAAAAGGACTTAAAATGTTAAATGTGTATTACCCCAATAGGTGATAGTACCTATCAGATCTTGGCTGATTGTAAAAAACTAAGTCAAGTCATACCTAGCTATTACTTGGACAAGGGAACATTAGGAAATTCCAGGATTGGACAATTGAAAAAAATTCTGGGAGTAAGCAATGGCCAACCATGCTGTATTGTTCCAAAGAAACTCATGAGAGGTCAAAACTGAAAAAAATGTCCTCCTTGGTTTCTGTAAGTCAGTGGGAGAATTTAAGGCAGCTGGCATTCCTTTGCTGTTTCAAAAATGTTTATAGAAAGAGCTAAGTATACATTCTCTTTCACGCACACACAGACACACATTGCATTCTTGCAAGTGCAGATTTTCAGTAATTCAGAAATAAGTTTGCATCATCTTTTAGTAGCTTTGCTTTTTTAGTACTCCTTCCCCAAAGATTTTTTGTTTTTAAAAGCTCTACTAATAAAATGTTCCATTAAGTTTTTTGAGGTAATTTGGTTCCCTGCTTCTCTCTGCCTCTCAATATCTAATGCAGGGGTGTCAAACTGCTGGCCCACAGACTGGTTGCATCATGCGGAGACCACGCCCACCCCAGCTCCAGCAATGCGAAAAAAGTCACGATATGTCGTGACACGTCACGTAACGCGGCGAGTTTGACACCCATGATCTAATGTCTTTCTTTGTTGTTTATTTGATAATCAGATCACCTTCTGTCTATATATATACAGTACATTCAGTTCTTGTATATGGGTAAACATACAAGCATTACTTCTCCTGGGAACTGTAGACCTTGCTTGTTTGAGTTTTGTCCTTTGCAAACTTTGAACAAACAAGGTATATCACTTGGTTGAAACATAAGCTGGAGCAGTAGCCTCAATCCAGCAATTAATAAACTGCTCAAATTGAAAACCTTCCTATATCTTAAGAAACTAAGATAAAACCTTTCACTGTGGAAAAAGAAGTCTCTTTCTTTATATTTCCATGCTCTATTGGGCTGCCCTGGAACCCTAAATAATCATTAGACTTTTTTATGATTGTATCTAATTTTGCAAATGGAATCACCGGACTAGAATTACTTTGAAAAATTAAATCACACCAAAAGGTTATTTTTAATAGCGTGTATTGAAACAGTTCCTTTCAAAGAACAAGGAACCTTTGGTTTATTCAACAACAACTGGAAGCACTATAATGCTTTTGGCACAGTCATCAGTGGAGATACAGATAATGATCAGTATAGGGCCATAGAACAATTGCAACTGATAGGCTTCTAATAGCGTTGCTTAGGAACATATTACCAATATTTTCTGTGTGGAGTTTAGCACCTGTTTCCGCACTTAGGGAGAAAAAAAAATCCTGTTTTGAACATTTATATAAGCATCATCAGTGGGGCTGAAATTAATGGGAAGACAATCTATTCTTGCACATGGATTTATAGTCTCACTCTGAAATATGACTATTTTGTGGAAGCCGGTAAATGCATTGTTCAGTGTACTGCATCTTATTTTCCATTCCTAGTAATTTGTTTAGCTGGTTAATGGTTATTTTATTACTCTTCCCCAAAGACAAGCATCTGTTGTTTCTGATGTTTTAAGTCCATTCCCTCTGCCAGTTGATGTTCATTTGTACCTGTTCAAGGGGTCACTTTCTGTGCAAAATGGAAATATAACCTTCTACAAAGATTTATACATAGTAGCACATGCATAAAATAGTAAAATGAGCTTTTCCTATTTTCCTATCATAATGGGTTTATCTTTAGCCCAACTCTTTGGGGTCTTATCTGTGTCTAGTGAGAACAAGCTAAAATCCTGGAACAGTATTTCCAAAGTGAAAAAGGGTGGAGGGAATGGTCAAGAGACTCTTACTGTTTAGATACAGCGGAATCTATTAAGATGCAAAATCAGGTTAGCTTTGCTGTTAAGTTTACCTGATCATTGTTCTTTTTTATAGTAGATAGATGGGAGGTCAGCTTGGTTGGGTAAATGGACCTGTAGAAGTGTGTAAATTGTAGACCTGTTTTGCAATATACTTACCAGTATTCAATTTGGGTTGACCATCTATGTGTATGTTTCTTCTTTTGTTTTATGCACATTTTTGCTTTGTTTAGTTTTGTTCTTGTTCCCTTTTGGAGTTTGCGTTTTAACTTTGAAAATAAAAATAAAAGTTATTTTTTTAAAAAAAAAAAAAGATGCAAAATAGGGGGCCAAGTGTGGAGGATTTGCTGGAATAAAAGAACTTGATATTTTGGCTTCAGGCGTTTGAACTGCCACTTCTGCCTTTCCCTTCTTTCCTCCTTTGCAATCACTGAAGCCAGATTTATGAACTGGACTGGCAAGCATCATTTACATAAGAGACAAATTTATTAACATTGAAAATAGGTAATAAATTTCAGTCACTATGCATATTTACTTTTTCTAGATCTCCATATCTATGACAAAAATAATACAAATATCCTAAGAAATCCTGGCCATTAGTTTATCAGGTACTAAATCCCATTGAAATCAACGGTGCTTACTTCTGAATGAACATGAATAAAGTAAAATAACAAGGTTAGAATCTTATACCAGTTGGGTTCTCACATTGCACTGAGTCATAATATACTTAGTTTGGTTTTGG